GCACCTGACCACTTTGCCGAAGCGGCCCTGTCCCAGGACCTCCATTTGGGAATACGAGGTTACGGTCCCGTGAACAGTGTTAGTGAGAATGTCCTTCATTCGTTGGAACATTTTGAAAAACTGAATGATTTCTTTGAGCTGAAATGAAAAAAAGAAATATATAATGCAGTAATTTATAGAATAAGAATATACAGAATAAATGCAATAATTCTAATTCTGTGTAGCAAATACAATGATCTAACTGCGAGTGAAATCATCAAAGAGAACTAGCAGGTGTATGGACTGGTCTATAAATATATATATATATATATATATGCCAGAATGTGACATCAGCAGTGACGTCAGGGTTTGAATCAAAGAGCTTCAGAGTGTGATGATGTCATCACAACGTGATGACGTCAGAACGTGGTGCCATCCCGTTCATGCCTCGTCATCATCAGCGTGTTCTGAGCTTGACGTTGCCTAGCAACCAGGGAAACTCACTCACACATTGTAAGACGTGACAATAATGTCAACTTCGTCTCTTTTATTTCAGTTGTTTTGACAAATGTTGGCTGCTGAAGTCAAAGTAATAAAAAGCTAAACGCCTGTTCCTCCAACACGCGACTGGACCAGTTATCCACGGAGGATCCGCTCTGGGGCTCTACTGACCGCTGAAATACGGACGCTGTGGCCGAAATCCTCCGGGGACCTCCAGCGGCGTAAGGAAGCAACAGACGAAGGACTCTGGGGCTGAATGTAACGCGTTTCCCCGTTTAGAGACGCACATTCACAGAGCAGCAAACCGTCTCCAGCACCACAAACTCCCCTCCTCGCTGTTTCTGAACTCAGTCCGCTTCAACTTTGAGACAGTGTCGGTTGCTTCCTTTTGCCGCTGGAGGTCCACGGAGGATTTACTTTGGTTCAGGAAGAGAGGAAAGTTCAGCGGCCTGTGGAGTGACTGAGTACAAACCTCAACAACATCACCTAAATGAGTCTAAACTGGATCAGCTCTCAGTAAGTGGAATATCTCCAGCTGGAACCGGCGAGACTTTCCTCTCCTGAATAATCACAAACAAATTCTGTGGAAAAACTATATTGAAAGTTCAGGCCCCAAAGAGGAAACGTAAAGCTGCTGAGTTCACCTGTGAATCAACCTAGCTGTGTCTATGTCTGCATCATGGCTCCACATCACTGAAATCTGACCAAAATAGCTCCAAGTTGGTCCAAAAACAAGTTAAAGTTGTCCAAAGCTACACCAAACTCATCTAAAATGACTCATAACTAGTTTGAAATACTAGACAGGTGACGATGCAGTGTTCTGCTGGGAAACCTTGGGTCCTGGCACATTCGTGTGGATGTTACTTTGACATGTACCACCAACCTAATCATTGCTGCAGACCACGCCCAACCCTTTGATGGCAACGGTCTTCCTCAGCAGAACAATGCACTCTGGCACTCTGCAAAAACAAAAAGCTTGAGGCATGATGTCTCCTGCTCAGTGGTCGGCTCTGGTCTTCATCTTACTGTCGTCGGAAAAACCTCTGGATGAGTTTGACCTGGAGAAATACTCTGCTTCAGATGAGGCTCTACTGAGGCTGCTGCCGGTGCTCAAAGCCTCCAGCAAAGCGCTGTATGTGGATTTATGAACGATTTCCAAAATGGACAATTTTGCACATGATGAATGAAACATTTTGACTGTGTTTACTGTTAATTCTTTCTCAGGCTGCGCCGCTGTGACCTTGCAAAGAGAAGCTGGGAACTTCTGTCATCAGTTGTCATCTCCTCGTCCTCCAGTCTGCCAGAGCTGGACCTGAGCTACAGCAACCTGCAGGACACAGGAGTCAGGTGTCTCTCTGCTGTACTGAAGAATCCACTCTGTAAACTGGAAGCTCTCAGGTCAGAGCACAGTTAAATCCTACTTTAGATTCATGCTGGCACTTTTCTACACCTGTGGGATTTTCCTCCGCACATCTTGAGCTGATTGTGTGTAACTGCAGGCTGTCAGCTTGTCTAATCACAGAGACTGTCCAGTGTGCAGTGTGGATCCACCAGTGCAGCAGCTTCACTCCTGGATGATGAAGTTCTGAGCTTCAAGCCCTCCCATTTGAGAGAGCCTGAGATACAATCCTCCAGGAGAGTTAGGAGTGAAGCAGCTGAATTAGAAGATCCACACTGCGGACATTTTCATCGGATTTTAATATTGCGATCTGCACAGCCTCATGTGCAGATGTTTATTAAAAGTACTAGTATCAGTAATCATTATGTCTGTACTGTCTGTGAAAAAAGATAAGAGGAATAAATCCACCGTCCATCAGCATACACCATGGTGTATGAATGCAAACTGATATGAGGCTTCAGCAGTCTAAGTTTCACAGATCCAGTCAGAGGGTTTCTGTTTCCACAGTGTTTGTGCTGAGCTGCAGTGGAGCCATAGTCGCTCAAAGAGGGAAACTTCGGTCAATGCTCACTTGATCTGCGTCAGTCAGGCTGCTGAAGCTTCATGTTAGTGTCAGCTGAGCTCATGAAGTCATTCCTAAGGGTGGAGTCGTGTTAGGAAGAGACTACGTCACAGTCAGCGTGGACATCAGGAGTCAGATAATGTGTGACTTCTGTTTAAACACTGACTCGTGTGGGAATTTCTCCTTTAAACTTTTTTTTAATGCCACAACGAAGCTGCCTCAGCACGGGAAGAAAGAGGTCTTGTTATTAATCTGTGTTGACACAAACAGGTGTATAAATGCTGTGCTGTGTTGGATGGTGTGTATAGAAGGCTGACATGATGACCATCCACAATAACAGAAGGACAAAGTCACTGACACTGAATGTCTGTGAAGATTCTCAGCCATCCAGGTCATGGTTATTCTGGTAGATTCTGGTAGATCTTGGATGAGAGGTGAAACGTCTTCAAAGAACTCAAGCAAGTCCAGAATAACACTGAGTGTTTAGTTGTACATTCTGACCCTGAATACATCTGCTCGTCAATGATTTTGTTTATGTCTTTTTTCCCCCCCGATATTCAGATTGAAGGGCTGCTTTTTGTCAGACATTAGCTGTGTTTCTCTGGTCTCAGCTCTGAACTCCAACCCATTCCATCTGACACATCTGGACCTGAGTTCCAATGAGCTGCAGGATCCGGGAATGAAGCAGCTGTGTAGTTTTCTGGAGAGTCCACACTGCAGACTGAAGACTCTGAGGTCAGACACCATGAATACGATGTGAAAGTTCCCAAACCTGCACACCCTGAACCTTTTCCACTCTGAACACATGATGAGACTCTAAATGATGTCGAAGCAAGAACTTTGTTTCTTAAAGGCTGATATTATACTAATTCCAAACTAAAGGTCTTCATGTCTGTTTTCTTCTTCACTGCTTGTTTCACTGACTGTGGCGGAGAAATGTTCAACTGCACATGCAAGCTTCAACACAACAAGAAAAATCCTCCTCAGAATAATTCACATGTGATCTTCATCTTATATTTGACCTCATGTTAGCTAGTCTGTTCCCCCACTGCATCAAGCTTGTTTCCAAGTATGAAGAATTGAATGATGTTAAATGAAACATCAAAGAATATGATCCCCACATATCCTGTCTACAGACTGTCCTTTTTGCTCTGGGTTTTATCAATTGAAAGTGGAGGTGTTTATCTTCAAGAACATTGCTGAAGAAACTGTTTGAAGACATCAGCTTGTCCTCTAAAAACTGTGATGGACACTTTCCACTCTAAATGAGTCCTGATAGAAATGTGTCCATGGTCCAATAACTTGAACAGATTTTGTCTCATTTTGTCAAAATCTCCTTAGTTGGAGTTTTTTTTCTGAGTTTTGAGAAGAAAGTTAAATAAATGCCAATATGGGGCATGAGTTTGAGTAGACGGAGTCGCTGGTAGAATCGACAGACTTTAAGAGCCGAGGTCACTACGTCTTTATTGGAGCAGCACCATGTAGTCGTTACTATAAACGACTTGACTTTGATCGTTTGAAGCTGTGTTCTATTTGCTTCAAGCGTTTCCATTTTCCTAAACTTACATATTTGCAACCTTCTTCCATTCTGAACAAATAATGAAACTCTGAATAATTTCAAGCAGGAACTTTGTCTCCTATACTCACATCTTTTATTCTTTATTCAGATTGAGGAGCTGCAGTTTGTCAGACAGCCGGTGCCACTCTCTGGTCTCAGCTCTGAAGTCCAACCCCTCCCATCTAACAGAGCTGGTGCTGAGTTACAACAGTCTGCAGGATGCAGCAGTGAAGCAGCTGTGTGGTTTTCTGGAGAGTCCACTCTGTCGACTGGAGACTCTGAAGTCAGTTCACTGTCTGTTACTGCTGTAGAGCTTGTATGTTTTAATGACACCTGAAGCTCATTTATGTCCGAACAGAACTTTCATCCATGATGCTGTTAATTTGCTGTTGTTCAAATTTTCTCTTTTCTTGCCCGAAATGTAGTCTATTGTCACAAGAGATGAGTGTTTGTTTCAGAAACTATAGAAAATGTCCAGTGTTAGCTGTCACAGTAAATGTTTGTAATTTGTGCTTAAGAGTCACATCTGGACACAGAAGATCCTCTGAACTCAGATTAGTTTCAAAGTTTACTCACTAAAGTAGAAAAATGTCTTTGGTTTCCGTACAGTTCAGTGTGATTTGATACTGATTGATATTGATTCGCAGATCACACATATTTGCAGGTGTTTAGTGTCAATACAGTATAGATCTTGTCTCGGTTAGTGATCTGTGTTGACGTAAACAGGCGTATAAATGTTGAGCTGACGTTTGGATGATGTACTTAGAAGGCTGACGTGATAATAAACCCCAATAGAGAGCAGCTCATTGATTATGTCACAGTAAAATCAAGCTGCATATTTAGAACCTGAACACGTTATCAATGCTTTTATCTCCATCTTTCATTCTTTATTCAGTTTGAGTTGCTGCACGTCAGAGGTCGAGTGGGAATCTCTGGTCTCAGCTCTGAAGTTCAACCCCTCCCATCTGAAACATCTGAACCTGAGGGACAACGACATTCAGGATGCAGTAGTGGAGCAGCTGTGTGGTTTTCTGGAGAATCCACACTGCAGACTGCAGTTTCTGTGGTCAGTTTACTGTAAAAGATCCTTTTGTTTTATGGCCAACTGAAGCTTATTTATGTTCAAACAGAACTTCTATCCTTTAACTGCAAAATTCCTTCTGTTCATATTTTCTCTTTTTTTGTCCAAAATTATTGATTAATATTTGATTATTGTCACAAAAGACCAGTTTTTGTTGTTTAAGATGACTGATGACAGAGACTGGTACAGTAGAAGATGAACCTCAACACATCTGATTGATTTTTATTCTTTATTCAGTTTGTGGGCCTGCAAATTATCTGGGGTCAGCTGTGAATTTCTGGTCTCAGCTCTGAACTCCAACCCCTCCCATCTGACACATCTGGACCTGAGTTCTAATCAGCTGCAGGATTCAGGAGTGAAGCAGCTGTGCGGTTTTCTGGAGAGTCCACACTGCAAACTGGAGACTCTGAGGTCAGACACCATGTTTCAGTTGTGTGCTCAGATGAATATGATATGAAAGCGGTGGTGACACTGAACTTCAGGTTGAAATTTTACTGATCCACATGGAGGATCTTCATGGTAGCATCTGTTTTCTTCTTCACTGTTTTAGTCCATTGACTGTGGTGGAGAAATGTTGAGATGTCAAACCTCCACACGGTAGGAAAAATCCTCCACTGAATAACTGACTGTGAAACTCTGATCGTCACCTCATATTTGAGCTCATGTCTTTCTTCAGATCAAATTAAAACCAGGGCAGCACATTGGCTTTATTTTTATAGTTTATTTTTATACTGAAGTATCTGAACTTTGCCTCCTTAACTAACATCTTTTATTCTTTTTTTCCCAGACTGGTTTGCTGCAGTTTGTCTGGGTCCAGCTGTGTTTCTCTGGTCTCAGCTCTGAAATCCAACCCCTCCCATTTGACACATCTGGACCTGAACCAAAACAAGCTGCAGGAATCGGAAGTGAAGCAGCTATCTGAGCTTGTGGAGAGTCCACACTGCAGATTGGAGACACTGAAGTCAGTAGACAGTCCTTGCTGCTTTCAGAAGTATTGTACTAAACACAGTCAGCATTAACTAGTGAGGACTAAGGAGTTGTTGTTTTGATATGTTCAGGACATAACGTTGGGTTCCAGCTCACAGCCTTCTGGATGTGCTGCATCGCTGAGTGACAGCTGATGTGGTGAGTCCTTGCAAGCATTCATTTATCTCCTCTGTTCTTTCTTCTTCTATCTTCAGCTGGCAGTGATGGTGCACAGAAGGGCGTGTGTACTGAGAGGATGAGCCGTGGTCCTGATGATCCAGAGAATGCCGGGACTGATCAGGAAACTCAGATTCAAACATCAATCTCAGACCGACTGGTACAATCCAAAGGAAATATATTCACAACTGTGGATGGAACAATACAAAGGAACAAAAGAAAAGCTAGGACTACACAAGAGTGAAACGAGTCAGACTAAACTGGCAGTGAGTTCCAAGGAACAGGGAGTACAATTAGCTGTCTGCAGGTTCTGGGTCTGGTCAGAGCAATCAGAATATGATGAGGCTACGGCAAGTTCCTAATGTTGAAGTTCAGAGGTGTCCATGAAGGCCGGGACAGGCAGGGAATCCAGAGCGGAGGTTTGTGGGAGCAGCAGACAGACTCAGGTAGGATGGCTGGAGTGCAATCTGATGGAAACCGAAGGTAGCAAGAGGAAGATGAGACAGGAGGCCATTTAGGGAAGATGTGTCTGAACTCTCTCTGCATGCCGCCATGCACTCCTGGAAGGATTCTTCTGGATCCTCTCAGCTCCATCATCATAGTCATCTTGATGTCGTCCACGTCTTCAAAACAGGTCCCCTTGATGACCCCCTTGAGCTTGGGGAAGAGGAAACAATCCCACAGAGCCAGGTGGGCTGAGTCGGGAGGTTGCTCCAGCACGGAGATGTTCTTCTCAACCAGGAACTGTGGGATGCTCAGGGCATTGTGAGCAGGCGCGTTGTCATGGTGAAGCAGCCACCACTTGTCCTGCCACAACTCTCACCTCTCCTGTCGCACTGAACGAAGCAAACGCTGCAGGATCTCGTTGTAGACATGCTGGTTGATTGTCTGAAGGGGAAAACTCCTAGTTTCTAGTTTGGGTTTGAAATATAACTTTTGTGACACCAGTCCTGGAACCTTTCTGACACACCTCGTATGACACGATAAGTATACATGTGGATATGTACACCTGTGAGATGACTCCTTTCAAACGTTCTGTATGTGTGTTTCGTTGTTTTAAAATACACGACCAACTGTATATGATGAGTCCTCAATAATTCTACAAGTGTCAATCTTAAAATAGTACATGTCTTTACACTGGTTCTGGGTTATTTCATACATTTGCTTTACATTAATACTAACACTGACCACCTAGAATTTTTTGTTTGAAATCTGTAAAATAACAGATCTTTCATTCATTTTGCTGTGTAGTGAATCCTAATTAACACAATATGCAGTAAAACAAAGGTAAAGTGAATCTGAAGCAGTGAGGAAACCACCAACCACAACCAGAAGTCGTCTGTTTTCCATTTTGTCCTGTTTGTCATGTATAAATCCTCTCTGTCTTTGTAGACATCAATCTCATGTGGCCTTGTTGAAGCCTTTTTAACCCTTGACACTGACGTGTTATCTTTGAAGGACACATTTCGATTGAGTTCAGACTTTATTTCTTATTTTCACATGAAACATACTGTTGTTTAATTAATAAATGTGCTAATGGCGGTAAATGGCAAATATTGACCCTGACTGCTGTTTATAGTGCTTGTAGTTGGGATAAAGTCTGTTTAGTGTTTTGTATAAGTTATAATCATAACTTTGTTTTCAATACAATCGTGTTGTGGATCCACTGATCATCACATGCAGGTTACGCTGTTCATTTCCCACCATATTATTCTGTGTGGATCTGACCAGCAGAGTGCAGTGTTTTCCTGGTTAGCGGCTGTGTGGTCACTGAACTGCAGGTCGGCACTGCCTGGCTTCCCGCAGCTTGCGTTGAGCCTGTGTTTGTGACGAGCGGGAGAGCGAGTGAGCCAACGGGAGTTGGCCTTGAGCCCTCCCTCACTCCCCAGCCTCTGCCACCATCCGAAGCTCGCCCACCCACCCACCCAGCCAGCCACCCAGCCAGCCAGCCAGCCTCCCTGCTCTGCACTGCTCTGCAAAAGCAGCCAGGGTGACAGTTCACTGTTTCCATTAGACTGATGAGATTTTCTGATGTTTTCTTCCCCTCGTTCTGTGTACATTAAACGCAGTGTCATTTGCTGACCTGCCCTCTTCGCAGAGCCTACAGTGTGTAGCCAGCGGTAGGCTTTAAATTGCCATTTATGCTGCTGTCTAACTGTCTGACGAGCCACCAGTTCACCTGTCACTGTCAACTGAAAGGAGCAGCTGTTGACCTGCAATCTGTAAAATCACTATGTGCATGTGATATCTGTGCTCAGTGCGTCACTCAGTTTCTGTCGTCTTTAAATCCTCATCCAGGTACAGCAGCCCTGTTAGAGGTCTGCAAGATACCTGATACCTGTGTGTGTTTGGAAATAAAGAATATGGGATAAATGAAAATACCCTAAAGTACAACATCCCGGTTATATGCACTCTGAAGCACAGAATGGTCCGCCTGCACCTTATTATCATTCTGCTATCGGGGGAAAAATGCTCTGTCTTGTTTGTATTTCTTCAACCCAGTCTCTATTGCCCTGAGTGGGGCTAAGCGAAGGATGCAGCAGCGGTCAAAATAATGACGCCGGGGATTGTTTTGGTGGAATGTTTGCATGCAGAGACCACAGTCTGTCATTAAAATGGATAATTCACCAAAGAAAAGAACAAAGCTACTTTACTGCAATATTCAAATCCCCTGCAAAACTTGATAATGTCACTGTGGTATGTTGCTGGCCGAAAGGTCGTTGTTGTGTACCGTAGTGAAAGGCGGTTTGAAAACCCTCAGATCTGACAAGTCAAGTTCATTCACTGGAACTCCAATGTGCGAGTGTCAGTGAATGCAGCTATGGAGTCCGAGTGCAAGTAAAAACACCACAAGGTGATTGAAGCAGCTATGTGCAGCGGCAGTCGGCTGTGCGTCCCATCCATCAACATTAGAGGGAGTCCAAAAGACACAGTTTGTGCCTTTAGTTGACCATAAAGCGTGAACAGGAGCCCAAGTTTAGCTTGTCTGTGAAGATTCTCAGTCGTCCAGGTCATGGTTATTCTCATAGTTTAATCATAGCAACTGGACTTGCTTGAGCTTCTTGAAGACCTTTCACCTCTCATCCAAGAGGCTTCACCAGTTCTGACTGACTAGTTGGGAGTTCAACATACCCTTAAGGAGCCATTAACACCTGAGTTTCAGTTTCAATTGGGGTTTGGTTGCTCCTCCCCCTCTCATTATGTGAGCCCTTAGCACTCCCCCCTGACACAAAGGGGTTCGTTAAGGTCTCTTGTGGCTCGGTGTGAATGTGGTTTCATCTTCCTGGGGAGAGTTCTTAGGACGGAGTTGTAAACAGGTTTACAACGTCTTCAGAAAACTCAAGCAATTCCAGTTGCTACGATTAAAATATGAGAACATGTTTGGTTTGGTGTTTCCAGCTGTTTGCAGGAGTTTTTCCTCCGAGTTTGTCAAAAAAAAAAAAAACTACAGCAGCAGGATCCATATGAGGGTCTCCAAAGCAAGAAGGGTTTGCACATGAACTCAAACTTCAATAATTCTTACTAATTATACATTTTCCCTGACAAAGAGACAGACTGGGAGAGAATATGCCTTTTCTTTTTTTTTTTCCAAATGTGCATCTTTTTTTTTTTTTAATGTCTGAAGGATGCAATTTAATCCCCATTTACTCTCCAGTAGATTAAACCCACATTTTTGTGCATTGGTATGTTTTTTTTCCCCCAGTGAAAATAATCCCTTAATGCTTTGAAATGTCTTAGATGTAACTCTGCACTGCTGCTTCCTCCATAATGTGCTGTATGAAATCCTCCCGCCTTGCTCTCTGCAGCTCCGGCACTCCAGCTCACCATGACTCTGCTCAAACACTGTAAAACTCCCCTGTGCTACAGAATGGCAAGTTGTAATATTGGAGTAACTGGACCATACACGTTTAAACTGAAAGCTGAACCTGTCGAGGAATAACGACACAGACAGCCCCACACTGCAAGTTGACAGGATTGGTTCTGTAAGTTAGTTATGTATGAAATCTTGCCTCTTTGTTTTTGTGTCACTGATACATTGCAGCTCCACATTAGAAATGCTCAGCCATGGTGTTGACAGCTTCTTTTGCCCAAGATGTGTCTTTGAGCATATTTTAAAAATAATTAATAAGGTAAAAAACTTGATTTTCATTGGAGGAGTATTTTAAAGTGGTATGTTCTGACACGTTTAACCTCTCTCTCAAAAAAAATTGCAGCACTTACAGTTTGGATATTGTACATGTGATTTCAATAATATTTCAATCAATTGTTCATCCCTGTTCCAAACCTCAACAGCATGATTTGCAGAATAGCTGGCTGTGCAGTAAATGGTTAAAACCTTGATTTAGCCACGCAGTCTATGGTTGAATCATGGCTCTTTAAATAAATGATATAAACCAAGAACATAGAAGTTAATTCTCTGGTGTTCAACATAACAGAATGAGTGACATTTTTTTCCAAATCATGTTGACACACATTTGAGGAATATGACTGGCTTTACAACAATATTCTACTTGAACCCTTTCTTCAAAAAGATGTCATTTATGGTTTTGATCAGAAAACAAAGATTATGATTTCTCATCCTCAGAAAACTGGACATACACAAATGCAAATACATGACGGTCAATCCTAGGTTTTATGTAGTTCATGAGGAGTTTCTCTTCTTCACTAAAGCCCTTAAAAATGAAGAGTAAACATGCAATGAAACTGGTCAGTTTGATTGAGAATTACGATCTGCACAGAAAGCCCTACCTTTGTGTTTTGTTCTGTTTTTTCCTTTCTGTTTTGATTGTGTTTCATGTCTGATTGCACTTCATATAATTTTCAAGAAGTGCCTTTTCTAATAGATACACATTTTGTTTTACTGCACTGTAGGCACATGTTCATCAACAAGCAAAAAAAATAAAAAAAACTTTTGTGAAGGTTGTCTTTACTGCCACTCAAAAAGAAAAAAAAACGGATCAGTGTGATATATCACGTTTCAAGAACATACTAATTTATCATGTTATAAGGAGATATTGATGCTTTTTTTATTGAGGAGTGGCAGATATCGCTTCCATCTGTATTCCACA